CTCTCATGTTTCTTCCTTCATTCGTTCTTTTTTCCATATCCATGTTTCCCATCCTCTACCTTTTACACAAGAAAAACCCATATTGTCACTTCTAGCACCGCATACATTGCCCTCAAAAAAAAAAATGATAACAGTATATTCCTCAGCACAAACCTTGTGCTGGTAGCTGTATTTAAAAATTACATCCATACCTTGTACAATTTACAAGGCTTCCAAAAACTGTAAAATATATTCTGCATTCTTCTACACAAAATTCTTTACACCAAAAATTGAAACTTATAATACAGTTCATCTTAACTTTTTGAATGGAGCTACTCTTGTCTTCAAAAACATCTACTATTTCTTTTCTTCCAAACAGTCCACCAAATACTGGTAAAGCCCTCCACCATTTTTGTCTGACAGTTCCACCAACATAATTCCAGGATTTCAGCAGATCATATGTGTTTCCTGGCATTACCATTTCCGGTTTACCAGGGCCAGAAACAGCTGCCCCAGTTGAGATGTAAAGTTGCAATGAAGAAAGAGATGACTATTGGTTTCAGATTCAGCTTTGCATAGGAAACATCTTGGAGTTAGCTGTGTACCATTTCTTTACAGATTTTCTTGAGTTAAACAGGCCCTCCTTGCAACTAACCAAGAAAAGCAGTTTACTTTATATGTTATCTTGACTTTCAAGATTTGTTTCCATGGCCATTTTGTATCCTGTTGTCCAGTACTGCTGAAAAAGACATATCTCTAACTGTTTATACTTCTTGCTTGTACCTTTCCAAATCATAGCATCTTCGTTTTCATTGCTTCCTTTAAATACCTCCAAAGTTATGAAATAATCCAATCACTCTCCCTGTTCCCAGTCATTTAGAGCTCTCCTGAAGGTAAATTCCATCCATATTGACTCCATACTTCACTAATTGTAGCCTCATGCTGTAAGTATAGTCTGAAGATTTCAGCATATCTGTCTTAGTGGTTCATAGCAAATCCACTTATCAATCCAGAATGCTATTCTCCTTCCACTTCCATGGCAAATGACAGAGAATGCAAATGTTAAGGTGGATGTACAGTCATACAAGATTAAACAAGATTAAAGATGATGACATTGGCAGAAGGTGGAAGTAGCGCACAAGAGGATAAAAAGGTCGCTTCAGTTTTGTTCAATGTTCTCCATTGACCTCGAGATGCACTGGTCCATATGTGTGAAACCATGATGATTCATGGTAGCAAAAGGGGATAAGATAGACCTAAAATCACATGGAAGGAAGTTGTCTAAAAAACATGCAATCTTTTGAAATCCATGCAAACTTATTGAAAAATAGGGCACAAAAACAGTGGAAGAAAAATATCTGTAGTAGGCAACAATACAAATTAATCGAGATTAAGTTTTACTTATGTTGCTACATTCGCTTTAAGTCCACCGCTCGCTAGGAGTCTCTTAGTCTTGTTATAGATTTATATACCAGTAGAAAATGTAGAAACTTCTAGTGCTAGAGAACCCTCTTTTCAAATACTAGATTGATATCAGTTTAAATTGAGCACGACATAGATAGTGAAGAATAATATAGCTAACCCCAACTAGATTAGTATTGACACAAAGTTGTAGTTGTAGTTGTAGTTGTAGTTGTTGTGGTATATCAAGGTATAATATCTTTCTTTTGCAAAGAGAATTATTCTTTCTGTCCAAGGATAATGAATGCACTTAGATACACTTCATAGAAAGGAGTATTCTTTACATGCATATTGTTGATGCATACCACATCTTTTGTAAAATTCCAGGACAGAAATGGACATGACCGTTCTTAAAATAAGACTTAAGACATCATATCTCCTTTTGATAATGCTTAAAGCATCATATCTCCTTCTTCCATGCATTCACTTTTTAGGTGTTACTAACACTCAGGTGTAAATCCACCTAATACACTAAGGCAGATTTTGTGTCCATATATATATGTCACAAAACTGCCCTTCCACATACCTGCTGGAGTTTGTCTTCTTTCAGGTTACTAATCTTTAGTGTCTATTTGATTTTCTGTTAGCTTAGGTATCTGCTGCACCACAGGCAAAAAGAAACAGCAAGAACAAAGAGTTTAAGCAAACTATGGAATTAGAACAGAGAACAGTAACCTAGCAACTAAATTGTGCCACTCAGGTGAACTAACTGAAATGAGCTGGACAAGAATGTGGCCAAGAAAAAGCACAAATGACGATCTAAAGAAAAAGAGAAAAAAGAAAAAGAAAGAATTGTAAACAGCAGCTTCCAGTTATATCCTTCTGATAAAATCAGTGAACGGGGAGCTGCAGCCAGTGGCCGATAAAACACTTTTACCAGAGTATCTGAAGAACTAGAGAGAGAGAGAGAGAGAGAGAGAGAGACAGATATAGAATAAAATATTTCAATCTTGTCAGGATCAAATCATGTTTAATAAACTGTTTCATCTGTTTCACATATTATAGCATACTTCGCAACATGTCTGAGGTGGATATTAATGTCTCGCATATCAGAGGTTACTTATTCACATTCGTGAAGTTAAATTAGCATTCAGTAAGGAAGGATGAGCATGATTACTTGTTCAAATAACTGCGCACAATGTAATTGCGCAGAACTTCCAGAGCATGCTATTCATCATCAGTAGTTCCAAAATATTTGATTACGCCGGACGTATTTCTTGAGATAGATTGTGATAAGCTCCTCATATGTCCAATTCTTTTTCTTACTGAACTCCAAACGTGCCTCTGAGCTTAAGTGGAAATCCCCTTTCCCCATGGCCTCAAACACAAGGGGTTCTGTTGCTATTGTAACACAATCATATGTATTCAATTTCTGTAAAGCAAAATCCAAATTTCGTCCCAGACTTCTATCCAAGTACGCATCAACAACAGAACCGTAAGTCACAAGATCGGGAACTACCTTCTCATGCTTCATATGTTCAAGTGTTACATGCAGATCCCAAAACAATGACATTTTTGAAAACGCCAAAGCTCTAATATTGAAAGTAGTAAGATCAGGAAAAAATCCACTTTCTACCATTCTCACAAATTCTCTCTGCAAACTTTTCATTTTGAAGTTGGCAGCATAAGAAAGAAGTAACAGGTTCCATAGGAGATTTCCCACATTTCTCCGACAAAGGCCCACATCTCTTACAAACTGACCTAAACTATAAAACTTCTCTCTCTTCAGATAAGCCAAGGAGATTGACCTGATCGCCTCTTCCTCTATAAGAATTCTTGACATCTTAAGACGGCCATATGCAACTTCCATGTCACTCAGCGTACCAAAATTGCTGTAGTATATTACATAAGCATTTCCGGTAGCAGAATCAACAGGGAACCCCATGGAAACCATCTGTTCCAACATAATTTCCATCAACTCAAGCTGTCCTCTCTTTCCAAAACGAGAGATAACCCGAGCATAAATATCAGGAAGCAGGTCGGAATCTTTCAACTGAATTTGATGCAATATTCTAACAGCGACGTCGATATATCCATTGCAGCCACAGATATTAATCAGTTCTACAATTACACGAACATCTGGCAGAAATGAACTGATTAAAATTTCATCCCAAGCAGCTAATGCTTTGGCAAATAAACCATTACCGGCATAGCATAGCATCAGTGCTGACAAGGTAGAGTTATCAGGTATAAAACCTTCAGATTTCATATCAAGGAAAAGCCTTTCAGCAGCAAAAGGCAATTTTTTCCTAGTGAAGCCCTGTATCTGTGAAGCACAATCTGCATAAGTACCATGTCGATTAATATTTCCTCCCTGTTTCTTGCGCCACGGTCTCTGCAATCAGCACAGTATACAACTTCCTTGTAAGGGAAACATTATGAAACTATTGATCATATCTAAGGGGTTATTAGAGTCAGGGGCGGATGCAACATAGACTCGGTATTTCTTGCACGAACATAGAATTTGTGAAAAAAAAACATTACAATTTAACAAATAAGTCATAGACGTGTGGCTATAAATATCTCTTAAATATGAAGTTTAAAGTTAAATTGTTTCGAAATATAGAAAATATTATTTTTGGGATTGACTAAAAAGTAAAGTGTGCTACATAAACTGAGATAGATGGAGTATTAAGTAATGGCAGAAGTGAACCGATCAAATTTTAATCATGAATAGGCTGATTCGAGTGGGTATACAAAACTAAAACTTCCATTTATTTACTTAAGTGAAGGGTATCATTTTCCAGAATGTTCCAGCCAAGATGGATAGTAGCGAAAATTGTACCTTTTCTGCAGAAGATTGATACCAAAAGGGACTTGGTTTTGGAGTTGCCGATGCGAAGGCTGTGGACACAACTAACCCAACTGCCATGGCTGACTACCCTCACTAGCTCAGACGCACAGTTCTCATGCCGCTAAACTAAAATCGGGGTTCCATTTCCCGGGAGTGCACGAATAGCCGCTTTTTAGGGTCGCTTTTTAAAGAATAGCCAACATTTTCGATGTATTTAAAGTTTAGCCGCATAATTTGAAGTTTTTGTTATAACAATTCAAACGAACTCAAAAGTATCAATTAAGGGGGGCGTGGTGGTAAGGCAACTGTCTTGAAATTTGAACTATTAAAAAATTTGAAAAATAAACTGCTTATTCAACCGATTAAATTTAAATATCCGATGAATATATAATATATATCCTATTCATAGTATATAATAAGTATTTAGCAATATATAATCAGTATATAATTTATATATACCGTCTAAAAAATGTGAATAATAAATTTGAACGATTATTTATACAAAGATCCTTAAAAATAAAAATTCTCATTAGAGAACTATTAAATATATGAATCTCACACCACTTCTCCATATAGTCAATTTTCTTCTTTTTTGCAGATAGCAAATTTGAAATGCCATCCAATTTACTTAAATATAAGTATTAATTTTCTATGTCTTAGTTAGGGGTATTTTTCTTTAAACTTTATTTTTGCACTAAAACGTAATTATTTTTCAATTACATCTCAAAAGGTGATTAAATATTAAAAATTTGCTCAGTAAATGTCATTCCACATCATTCTTACATTTAATTGGTCCATCTTTCATAGTACCAGAAAGAAAGAGGAAATGATCTCATACTATCACTTACAATTTGATTAGAATAAAATAACCTTATAAAGATCTCATATATTTTATATACGAATCTCTTATGTTATCTTTTAATAATTTCTCATAAAAATACGTTATAACTAAAATAACATTTATGCTGGACCACAAAATCAACTCATATCTCCCGCGCAAGGAGAGTTTGCACGAATCTATACTCCCAACGCCAAAATGTTAAGAGAATAGATAAAAGGAAAAAAGAAAATATAATTACCCAATATTACTTTTTCTGAATAATTGAGTATACAAAAAGCTATACTTGTTTACCCAAAAAACGGATAGAGTTGAATTATATGTAGTTCTAAGAATACATGGTATAACTTGGCACAAATCGAAAAACTGAGTAGAAATATATCGATTATTGACTGTAAAAAGAATGAAATACAAACTAAATTGAGTGAAAAACGATTTATGAACAAGCAAGACGAATCAATGTACAAAGCCCAAAAAAGGATAATCTCTATATGAATATTAATAATCTTTTCAATGTGGGAGTCTGTAGATGCCTTGATGCCCTTTACAGAAATGATAGTCGTTCTTCTTATAATGGAGAAAACCCTACTTTAGAATTAAAAAAATACATAGTGGGGATCTCATGATAGATTAGTTAATTGGCTTTTTCTTAATTCCCATCAAAATTCTGTTCCTTAGTGCGGCTATAACGGCTCTTGTCTTCTTAGCTCGATCTTGATCGAACTTGGTATTGGTCGATCTCCAGATTTAGAGCTCGATATTGACTCGGGGTCCGGTATTGATTCGATCTCGGTATTAGTCGGTCTCTGGCTCTTGAACTCGATAACACCACTTCACATCATAGTTCGATTTGGACCAGAGCTCGATAGTGACTTCGAGCTCGGTATCCTGGCTTCAGATCTCATCTCGATATTATGAAGACTACCTTCGGTCCATTATGTTCCAATCTTGACTAATCATATGAAGGCCGAAACCAGTTTTGACCGTATACAGATAGTCACCTCGTTTCTCGGGAAGGATGTGGCGAGAAACGACATGATTTTTTAATGGCACGACTAGATATACACTGACCTTTGCATCGAGCCCGACCATGATGTACGTGATAGATGTCCCGTCGGTTCAGCTACTAAGGCATTAAATGTGTGTCAGACGATAGTCGGCCACTGCTGATATTGAACCGTCATTGTCAACTCTATAAATAGCTCTTCTCTTTACCACTTTTTACTTTTAGATCTCCAATCTCCAAATCTTCTAAGTTCCTTTTCGCACCTTCTGAGTTCTTCATCTGCGAATCTGTGATTTTCACTACAAAATCTCTCTTTAGAACACCAAATCTTATCATCTCCCTCTATTTTCAATCTTTAAATCCAAATGGGGAAAATGTCAAAAATTGTTCCTCAAAAAGAAAACGCTTCTTCTTCACAGCCCGCCGGCGACAAAATACCGGTGGAGCCACGACCTGAGGAATGTGTTCCCAGGGAGTGTATTCTCACTTCTGATTTTAAGACCAATAAAGCCTCATCGGTTCCCGGTCGATGTGAGCTAGTATCAAGGTATATGTGCTCGATAACTGAGGGATATCTTAAACAAGTAAGGAAAGATTGCAACTGGAGAACAAAGAAGTGATAATCCCAGCTCCCGAAAAAGATATTACTACTTATGTGAAAGGGTTTTTAAGTGTTTATACTTACCCTTTCACGTTGGACCCCCTCGACCCTGTTGTCATCGATTTTTGCCGCCAATACCGCATAACCCTAGGCCAAATTCATCCTTCTTTTTGGTGAATCGTTATTCTGATCTGCTTCTTTGTAAACAAAATCGAGGGGGTGCCCTTCACCCTCGACCATATACCGAGGTAGGTTAATAAAACTCCAGCGCCGGGCTACCAAAGTGCTATTCTCGAGCATAGACGAGGACAAGGACCGAGGCTGGATGGGCCGGTTCGTTCGAGTAAAGACTTCCGACCTAATCCCGGCCGAGAAGATGCCATTTCCCTAAGAATGGAATATGAAGCGTAAGTATAATCCTACTGTTAGCTCCTATTATTTTGCTTCTTCGTTTCTTTCTCACCGATATCCTTTTCCATTATGTAGCGGTTGCTTAGATGCCCGGTGCAATTCCTAACCTTAAGAGCTGGGTACGGGACCTGGCTTCGACCTCTACATACGTCGAGCACTCGTGGCGCGATTTATCAAAGGGCCGATAGGAGGCCAAAACACATGGTAAGCTTCTTTCCCACGTCATTGTTGACTTTGTAAAGCGTTTCTTATTTTCTTTTTATACAGGCCTTGGCAAAGATATTGTTATGAGGCCCTTATCCGGTGAGGAGGAGACTTCAATCCCGGTACCGAAACCGACGAAGGACAAAAAGAGGAAAAAGATCTCGACCTCCAAGGATCAGAAACCTAAGAAGGCGGCTCGTAAGCCGAGAAAGAATATCATCCTCCTGACCGAAGACTCTATTCGGCGTCTTAGGGATGAAGATGAAGAAGAGGGAGATGATGACTCCGGGCTGGTGGCCCGAGTGAAAATGAGCATCGAGGCCTCAAAGGCTACTGAATCGGTGAACAACATAGATTCCATCTCGTGATGAGGGAGTCTTGGGAAGAGAATTGGTTGAAGTCCCCGAGTCGTCGAGGATCGAGGCTACCTCCCACCATAATGAGCCAATTATGGGTACGGCTACAGGGGCTGATCTTGAGGCCCCTCGATATGGAGAGAACGCCCCAAGTGGTTCACTTGGGGCAATAGAAATTGGAGGCTCCCCGCTGCTCCCCTCGTTTTCCGAGGGAATGATTCGAGAGGCTCGAGCCTTGAAGACCCTTTCCGTCGAAGGAGGCCACGAAAGGGAAGATCCCTTTTGTGATTATTTTACTGGGTTCGAAGATTCTATCGGCCTGAGCAATTTGGAGGTCATGAGGAAGGACTCGGGTGAGGCATCGAGCCTTTTCAATGAAGTGCAGCAAGCTCTAAATCGGGTAAGCCTTTTCTCCTCTTGTTGGTATTACCCTTGTGTTTGTTTCTCTCTTCCTGTCTAACTTTTCTTCTTCTTTCTGCGTAGGCCTCAGCATTTAATCGGGAAGCATTTTCTCGGTCTCGAGCTGAGTTGAGTCGATATGAGGCCGACCTTCGAGGGCTCACGGAGGAGAGGAATGCCCTTAAACTTCTTTGTGGGCAAATAGAAGAGGAGATCAAGGACCGCCGAGCCTAATTGGCCAAGGCTCACCAAGACCAGACCGACCTGACCGAGCAGGTAATAAAAATCTTAATTTCTATCTAATTATAATTTTTTTTTATGTGTAGGAGAATGTGGGTGATGCAATTAGAAATGGTGGCGGAAAGTCAATGTGATCTTAATGTTCATGGGCTCGATTCGGGAACGGTGGATAACATTTCAATCTCACAGCTGCAGCAGAAGATCGAGATGATCGGGCAGCTCCGTGAGGAGGTCGATATGATAAAGGCGGAGACCTTGGGCTGGAAAGAAGGTATGGAACGCTTTGTTGCAGAAAAGGAAACTGTTTTATCTAAATTGTCATCGGCCGAAAGTCAGCTTCGAGGCATGAAGGAAAAAAGCTCAATTCAAGAAAAGAGGATAGAGGAGCTCGAGGCCCGGTTGGCTTCCGAACTTGCAAAGGCCAAGTCTCAAGCTGAAAAGGAAAAGGCCGAGGCAGAGGCGATTATGGTCGTATACCGGGCTGATGCTGAAGCCGCTTAAGTACAAGCGAGAAAGGAAGTCGAGACCGCTCAAACTCGAGCATATTGGATTGCCGAACTTGCCAAATGCCAATCTCGGAGGGAAACCCTCGAGGAGATCCATGCTCGAAGTTTTGACCTTACCGAAGAGAAAATAAAGGCTAAAGAACTTGAAGTCAATGTTGGAGCCTTAGCTTCCAATGATAACGATGATGATGATGAGAGCAAGAATGGGTCTGAGAGCGGGGAGGAGCTCGATGGAGAAGAAACTTACAGCGGAGAAAATCAGGAACTTTAGGGTTTTTTCTCTTTTTGATCTTTTTGTGTAGGGTCCTGATCGAACCTTGTAAATACTCCTATGTATATAAAGATCTTTTCCTTTCCCAACTTGCCTTTGTTTCATTTTCTGCCTTGTGAAAATTTTGTTTCATTCATGCCTTGTGAAAGTTTTCATAAGTTCGAGGCTTTAGGCTTTAAATTCCCAACTTGTAGTCTTTATAACCGAGTGAGAGTTTGCTCGAACTCAAAGTAATGTAGCTCGTAGGCTTTATGGTCGAGTTAGTGTTTGCTTGAGCTCGAAGTAAGAGTAACCCTTAGGCTTAATAGTCTAGTGAGTGTTTGCTCGAACTCGAAATAAT